TTGTTTTATGCTCTTTAAGGCTATGAGGACCAGAACCTGAAAGAGGAGGCCTGTGGGTGAGGCCGGGGGTGACTGGGCTTCAGAGGAATGAGTACAATTTCGATAATAAAGGGGAAGTAGCAAGCAGAGGAAGCTGAGACACACGTGGAAGCATGGAACTGACTTCAATGGTGATCTGTTCAAGGAAGAGACAGCACTCAGTGGTGGGACTCATACCGGACAGGAAAGGTAGCCTGCCATCTTGTAGGTGAGCAAGAGGGTTTAGACTAGAATTAAGAAATGGCTTATCCCTGGAAGAGAAAAAACGCCTTAGCTTGGCACTGTGTGAAGGTCCTGCCTAGACCTCCCAGCTGGTCTCCTGAAGCCAAAATGAGAGTAAATTCTGAGAATTAAGAACTGAAAGTCATTGTGGATTAGAGCAGCGATTTTCAACTAGTGTGCCATGGCACACCGGTGTGCCCCAAGATTTTTTAAAACAGGCAATTACTTGACTGTGTAGTCAGGGGCACTGACCTCTTTTCCCTTAGACTGTCAAATAAAAAAATGACAACAGCCAATACAACAATAGCCGTCCAGTGTGAATGAATCAAAATTATACCCTATTTTTTGGGTCAGATCAGCAGAATATATATATTTTTGGTGTGCCACAGAATTTTAGCAATTAATTTATGTGTGCCATGAGATGAAAAAGTTTAAAATCGCTGGATTAGAGAGTGGTGGAGTGACGCGTTGCAAGTGGTACTTCTGGGAGGTTAGATGCAATTAGAATGAAATCTACCATTTGGGGAGAGCTGAGACAATGGATATCTTCAGCCTAGTCTAAAAAGGGATGACTTGAATAAGCTCGTATCAGAAAGAAAAAAAAAAAGGTTGATCTCTGGAACATTGTATAATCTTGACTTTTTTCTTTAAAAAAATATTTTTATTGATATCAGAGAGGAAGGGAGAGGGAGAGATAGAAACATCAATGATGACAGAGAATCATGGATCAGCTGCCTTCTGCACACCCTCTACTGGGGATCGAGCCCGCAACCCGGGCAGGTGCCCTGACTGGGGATTTAACTGTCACCTCCTGGTTCATAGGTTGATGCTCAACCACTGAGCCACACCAGTCGGGCTAATTTTGACTTTTTTTCAAACCCAAGTCTGATTGTGTCATTTTTCTTGCTTGAAGCAACCCAGTAGTTTATCCTCACCTTAGAGGAGAAGCCGTGAGAAGCCGTGATCTAACTTCTACCTGCTTCCCTGACCTGTCTCCTGCTACTTCTACCTCCTTTACAATCTGTAGGCATATGAACCTGGAATAGCAGACTCATTCTCATCTCAAGGGTGTACCCTTGCTGTTTCCTCTGCCTGGGGTTACTCTTTCTCCATATTTCCGTGATTCTTGCTCATTTAAACCTTAGCTTAAAGATACCTCCTCACACAGGCCTTTCCTGTGTCCCATGTACCCAGCCTCTGTGATTACTTTGTATCTGGTAACTGGTTCTGCTTCCAACAGAATCTGTCACCACTGTCTGAAATGACTGCTTATTTATCCATTTATTAGCTGGATGGAATTCTGTTAGCCATGGCATCCCTGACATCAGGGCCTGTACCTTACATCATAGATGCTCTGTTATGCTCTGAGTATTAGAAGACTAGTCCCCAATATGCTGCCCAGAAAATGTGTGAAACTTGGAAATTGGCTTCTAGATTTTATGTCATGTTGCCCTGTGATGGAGTGATGAAATTTGTCTGAAATGACTTTGCTTATTTATCCATGTATTAGCTGTCTTTCCCTAATAGAATTCTGTTAGCCATGGCATCCCTGACATCAGGGCCTGTACCTTACATCATAGATGCTCTGTTATGTTCTGAGTATTAGAAGACTAGTCCCCAATATGCTGCACAGAAAATGTGTGAAACTTGGAAATTGGCTTCTATATTTTATGTCATGTTGCCCTGTGATGGAGTGATGAAATTAAAATCTGCCGCTCCTCCTTGTTTTTGCCTCTTGTGGGGGAGGGGGTGGGCATGCATGTGCGCACACACAAACACACACATACACACACACACACTATGTGATTGATTTCAGTCAGCCAGTATTTATTGCATGACTGCCATTTATGGCTTAAGATGAACATTTGGGGGGAAGTTACTCTTTTTGTGAATGACTAGTTTCTCTGAGTCTATTAAAACATTAATTTAAACATCAGTTCTCCAGCTGTGGTATAATTGAGCATTTTGGTTTTTTACCCTACAAATAGAAAGCTGCTTTCAATTTTATTGGTAAATGTATATGCTTTACATTCGGGGGGAAAGTAAATTGAATTTTAAAATGAGGTCTTTCCCAGTTACTGTCATGGTTTTGAGTTATCAAAGTGTTAACTTCTCTTTGTGTAGCAAATAATTACAGTATTCATTTAGAAATAGCCCGCAGGCAAAGTCATGAGTCTGAAATTTTACTTTATTTTTCCTTAGTATATTCAGGCAATGTGTTCTCATCTGGATCATCCCAGACCTCCAGTGGATTATGTCATCTTAGGAGAGTCCTTAAAGTGGATACTCTTTTGAGTACAGTTGCTCTCAAAGTGTTCCTCGGACCCATAGCATCAGCATCACCTGGGAACTGGCTAGGAATGCTAATCCCCAGGCCCCCTCTACACCCACCGAGTCACCATCTGAGGGGGTGGGGTCCCGCACACCCTCCAAATGATTCCACTGCACACTAAAGTTTGAGAACCATGGCTTAGTAAATGTTAAAAGTTTAAGGTAGCATGACCCTACAGATTAGCCAGATGGCATTAATTATTAGCCCTGTAAGCCCACCTCCTTTTTGGTCCTGGAATTTGATTGGCTCACTAAGGCTAGGCTGTAAAGTTATTTGATAGATTGATTACCACGTATTGACTTTGTGTTGTTTGTATTTCTCTGAACCTGTCACTGTATTGATTTGCCAGGATGCTTAATAGGGACAGGCTGTGATTTATTTATTTATTTATTTTTTGCACCCATGGCTTTCTGAGTCATGGGCCACTGGGTCCTCATGCCTTTCTGGACAGTTTCTCCAGGTACTAGGCATGCCACTCCTATGCTTTTAAGGAGGGAGGTGTCACTGTTGGATCACATGGGACCTTCAGGAGCATTTAGTTCAGCCTAGATCGGTTTGCAGGTAGGAAATGAGCCTGCATGAGGTTGTGCTTTGCCTGTAGTAAGTAGCACAGCTAGTGAGTGGTAGAGGCAGGATTTCAGTCTCCTGACTCCCTCGCTGCACCAGGATCCCTGCAGGGGGAGGACAAAGTTGCAGTTTGCTCTTTGCCTGGGGGACATTTCTTTCCTACTGTGAGGTTTTCTTCTTTTATTTAAAGAAAAAAAAAACACAAATAGTAAAAAGTCAGGAAGTTCTCATTGAAACTAATAAAAGTGTCCAAAGTGAATGAAAAAAAAACCAGTTTGAGAACTTTGGTATGGAGGAAATAACCTGACATTAACTGTTTTAATTATAGTTGTTGCATTGGGCTTATCAGTGTGGGAAGAGAGAGCATTCGAGCCCTACAGGGAAGTGGGATATAGACAACAAGATGACCCTTTTCCTGAATCTGCCTGTTCAGGCTGCTGCCTAGGGACGGCTTGTGTGATCCCAGCAGTGGTCATGGAGAGGGGCTGGACTCAGTAAGAGATCTAGGTCCCAAGCCCAGCACTGCCAACTAGTGGTGTGATGCCCTGTGAGGAGGTCACTGTACCTTCTCGGCCTTCACTTTCTAGTAAATGGGTATAATAATGCCTATCCTGCCCATCCCGAGAAGGTATATGCCAGATAGTGGGAAGCAGTGGATCACTGCAGTGAAGAGCACAAACTCTCGTGGGACCCAGCGTTTCCAGGTTCAAATTCTGGGTCTTTCATTAACCGGTGTGATGATAGGCAGGTTACTTATCCTTCCTATGAAATGAAATTAACTACTTCATACTGTTACTGGCATTAGAATTCTTGGGTTCCCCAAGATAGGAATTGAGAGGAAACCCCAGAAAAATTTCCAGACAGATTTTATTAAGCTTATGCTGGAGCACAAGGGAGCCAGCACAGAGAAAGGAAGGCCCTCTGAAGTGGCTCAGGGTCTGGCTCTGCATGGCTGCTTTTACGAAGTGGGCTTGCGCAAAAAGGCCGGCTTGCGCAAAGAGGCGGCCTTGTAAGGGGTTTGGGGAGTGGAATTTTTCATGTCAGGGCAGGGTTACTTTCTCCTCCTGTTGGGTTGCTGGGCAACTGTCTCTGTACCTGCACTATGGGGCAAGATGGTGGTGTTACTCATTGCTGCTGCCCCAGGAAGGTCGTGTAGCGGCCAGACCTTGATCAGCTCCGCATGTGGGTCAGTAGATTAAGCAGGCATTCAGAAGGGCGATAAAATCAGCTACCTCTTGGAGGGGTGGTGACGTCCTTGCGTTCCTTCCAGCCACCTGGTCTCATCTTGGCTTCCTAGCCACCTGGTATTTTCTATTCCAGGGCCCAAGTCCCTATACTGTCTCAATAGGCCTGTAGGGAAGATTGAATTTGTCTATATAAGGTGCTTAGGACAATGCCTGCTATTTAGTAAGCGCTATGTGTTAGCTGCTATTGTTATTACTGTTTTTAAGTATTATTTTAAGAGATGAGATTTCTGTAAACATGTTCTCAAATAGTTCCATCACTTGATAAGAGTACTGGGCAAATACAGGGATCTTCTGCAGTAACCGTTAATGGAGGAGTTTTTCTAACATCAGCCTGTGCCTGGGCCTTGCTGGGAAAAGAAGTGGTTTCGATGCCCAGGAAGGGCAGGCCTAGAGCCTCTGATATTGCAGTTTAGTCAAAGAGCAGTGTGGCTAGAAACTCAAACTGGACACTTCTCAGTTTTGCTTTCAGGTATTTATACATGAGCCATCCCAGGAGATGGAAATCTTAATAATCTTCTAGGAAAAAGTTCATGAACTTTGATTTTGATTTCTGACTGGGTTTCTTTCTGTCTTGCCTTTTCAGTTATTAGAATTATAATATTTTGTTGATGAAAATTCCAACTCTGAAAGCTAAACAATCAAGGGATTGTCATGATGTAGCAAGTGAGTGACAGACTTTGGATAGCTTTCCTCCTCTTTTGGCTTAAATCAGGAAACATTCTACTTTCGCTGTTTATTTCTGAGTAGCCTGTTTTTGGGAGGGATTAGGGTGGTGAAGTGCCTTTTTGTTGCCTCGTAAAGGGACTGGGGTTCAAGAATTTGAGAATTATTTTATCTGTATGTATAAATGAACTTTTTCATTTTCCTTACTTTGATCCCCTTTCTCTTCCTCTACAATCTTTATTCATGATCTGTTCCCCTTAAAGTTAGAGATTATGTTTTATATATTTCTCTATGTATTCCATTTCTCCTTTCCCCCCGGGATCTTAACATAATGCCTGGTATCATACTAGGCTCTCAGCTACAGTTTGTTGAGTGAATATTGTTGATGTGTCTCATTACTTCTTCAAGCGACCTTTTCTGAAGTCTCACCTGAAGGCTTAAGTAGTTAATATGGTGGTGACCTAGTATCTACCCTGGTCTTCCTATATACGTATTGATGAATCTTTGCATTACTCACCTGAAGTGTCCAAATCCCAAGATGCTCATGGCCTGTCATGAGTATTATAGTTTGGGTTTCCCTGGTATCATTGGGAGATACGAATCTAGGGAAATCCAGGCACAGATAATTAAAAGCATCATTCAAGACCACAAAACAGTTATTGTGGGAAGAGACACTGACCCCAGAAGCCGAAAGAAAAAAAAAAACCTGATTAAAACTCTAAAAGGAAACCCAGATCAGGCTGGATATGGGAACGAATGTTGACTTAGATTGGATAACATTTCTTTGATGTCTGAGGGTTATGATTAGTGACTTATTGCTAATGTGTGTTTGTTTTTATTTTTAGCTTTGCAATGTCGGGACGGCATTGAGCTCTGTGTTAATGATGGAGTATGTGTTACCTACCACAATGGCACAGGATACTGCAAGTAAGTTTTTCTCTGTGCTTTTTCTTCTTCATATATTTTATTTTATCTCATTAGGACACTGGGCAATATTCAGTTCTACTATTCTATTTTTATTATTTCTGTGAAGTAATTACGGGTTCTCTAATTTTCCTGATGTAGTTCCAGTGTGGATGAGGATGAAAGGATGTGGGTGCCAGATAGACAGCTAATAAGAACTCCATATTACCTTCTTGTTATCTTTTTCATTAAGAAAGAGACTTTTCAGTGAGTATTTTGAATGACGACACTAGTTTTTAATTAACTAGGCTAGTTAATATACTAGTGCATTCTCTTACATGTTTCAGTTTAAGGCATACCCTTAGAGTCTCCTAAACATGTTAGCTGTGATCTTGTTTTTAAATCAAACTAAGTAGATATTAACTTTTTAATTCTGCCTAATATTCATGAATATTATAGCCACATGAAACTCTTTTTTTCTAGTGCAAAAATTCTGAAAGAGACTGTGCAGGAGGAAGATGCACACATACTTGTAGGGATGGGGTAGGAGCAGGGGCTGTGGGTAAATGCCATTATATGGGTTTGAGAGAATGGGGATGAGGAACAGGACTAGGGAGCATGGGCTAGTTCTAGGAGTGTTACTTTTCTTTTTCTCCAGCCATCTAGTTAGATCATCTCACAAATAGCTTTTCTAGGTTTCCTCTGACTTTTTTTGCTTTCTACCTCAATTGAAAGTTTTTGATAGGAGCATTTATATCATGGAAAATAAGACTTGATAATAAGAAATTTATCTTCTTTAAATACTTTTATTCTCTCTCTCTCTCTCTCTCTCTCTCTCTC